ACTTTCGTTCCGGAGTGAGACCACTCTGGAAGCAATCTCCTTGTTCAGATCGGCCATTTCACGTTTCCTCGCTAGATCTCCGGTTCTTTGGAACTGGTGTCTACGAACATTCCTCAAGCGAATCAAGAGTTGGGCGCGGGAATCAATGGCAATAAACTTACTCCTCACAGAAACTCGTCGGACGCACACCTCACCTTGCCAGCCACGGTTATGGCTTGGTGGAGTCCCTCCAACGCTCGGTCGATGTCTTCCACGGTGTCAAGCGGCGGGTTGTCGATGATGTGTCTGTCTACCACCCGCCCAAACTGGGCCCAGTTTACGCGATGGTAGTCCTTGCGCAGGCTTGGAGAAGGATCCACGTTGTAGCCCAGTTCAGCCACCACCGGTTGGTGGTCGGAGCTGAGTTCGTTCAAGGCTTGGACAAGCCGGTATTTGTCAGGAACAGGTCTAGCGTCGATGGGTTGCCCGCCGGTGAGATAAATGTTGGCTCATCCGAAAACCAAACGGAGTACAGCCCATGCTGTGAGTGGTCGAACAGCAGACGACCATTCTGGCTTCATGGCGAGCGTTTAGATCTCCTCCAACTACGAAGCGGGAACCGGTACGGGTGATGGTGGACAGGTCTTTCTTGAATTTAGCCGCTAGTCAACTGCTGGTGGCACACTGTCGAGGGAAGTAGACGGCGATGAACTGGACGTATCCAGTTGACGACTCCACCTCCACACCAAGGGCCTTGATGATAGAGGTGCGGATATGGGACAGATGTGGTATTTTATCCTTTTCTTGACGACGACCGCAACACCCCCCCCCCCCCTGGAGCTGGTGCGATCAAGCCGAATAATGTTGTGGTCAGGCAAACAGAAGCTGTCGCCGGACTTTAGATGGGTCTCGGTTTGAAGGCCCACGTCGATGCTGTGCTTGCGGAGGAAGTCGGTAAGCTCAATCTGTTTAGCTCTTACCGAGCAAGCATTCCAGGTGATGATAGTTAGCGGTTTAGACGCCAAACTGGATGATGAACTTACCGAGGACTTGGATCTACTCGGGCTTATTGTGGCACTTACGAAGAGCACCGGTCATGTTGGCGAAGATTTCCATCAGTTCATCTACTGAGAACTGATTGGGGTTGTTGTTTAGCGCTGGTGATTGTCTCCAGAATCCAGGGAGGGTGGTGATCTATGTCCAGCAGAATCACCGAAAGCTTCTTGAGGGGAGGCGGGTTGCACCCACGAATTTGCTTGTCTTTGCTGGGGAGCACGAAGAGGCGGGAAATCCTCCGTCCTGAATGCTGGGGTTTTGTCCTTCTTGCGTCCTGGTTGATTGTTGCTTGCCAGCTGCTTTCGGATGCGTCCTCGCGTTTGGAGCACTGTCAGTCGGAACCTTGATGTGCACCACCATGCATTTTAACGCCACGGCTCCATTCGCATGGCGTGTTCATGAGCGCAGTTGCTGCAACGTGGCTTGATGTTGCAGTTGCGGGTACCGTGTTCAAAATTGAGGCACCGCTGGCACTGCGTTACGTTACGATGGCCGCCACGGTATGGCTCCCACCGTACGATGATGGAGTAGATCGAGCGGATGGCTTGCAGCGCATTGAGCGCCACCGTCCCTTTCTGGAAGTGCACCGGGAAAAGGCAATCCGGGTACGTCTTCAAGTTTTCTGTCATCCGAACGACAGCGATTGGGGCGATTGGAAGTATGAATCTATATTGTTGGGTTTTGACACATGTTAGTCATGTGCCCATTATTGGATGCTACTTTACATGGGAATTAAGGAAGAGTAGTACGGCTACTACACTTGTACCGTTCCTTGATTTCAGCTTCGATCACCTTGAAGGGCTTCTCACCGGGGATGTCATGCGTGAAGAATTCCGCCTTGGAATCCTTCAAATATTTTACGGCCACCTCGTACTCCACATTCGTATGGAGCATCACCTTGGTGCCGATCCTGCCGAGCTTAAACTCAGCTGTGACGCCCAGCGATGTTAAATCGTCAATGAGGGTGTTGAGAGGCACTTTCTTCACCACCAGTGGAGGAAGCTTTATTTTTGCCCCATTCGGGCCGGCAGAATTCTCATTGTCGACGGCGTCGCCGAAATCACCGATGACGCTGACGTTTGTCGTGGTAGCATCGTCACGTCCACTCGTACCATCGGACCTAAGAGAAGAGGAGACAATACGGGGGAGAAAACGAACCACTTTTCTGTCAAACGCGAACCAGCTCGTGATTGGCTGATTTGTAGTGCGTAAGATAGAGATAGATACAGATAGAGATAGAGATAAAAGAGTAAGAAGCCAGTTGTCTCCTCTTCCTCTTAGCATCGGACTGGCCCTGATTTTTCTTCCTCTTCTTGATTCGCTTCACCGTGGCTGAGGTGGTATTCCCAACATCGGTCGGAAGAGTAGCGTACACTCAAGCTACACTCGACGCTGTTCTTCTTCTCCGCTTTCTCTCGGAGCCAGCAACGGGAGCGCTGTCTTCCAATCACACGAAGCGACCGACACTACTAACGACGCGATTGAACTGCGAACGTTTGGAACAAACTAGAAACTTTCGAACAACTCGACAGAGCGAGCAATAACCGAACTGTGCTGCTTGACGATCCAGCAGAGAATCACTGATCATGAGTTGAGGCTAGACAGCAGCGCTGTTTTATATCTTTTCAGGTTAAAGCAGAAATATGTGCAACCAAGTGGTACTCGATTATGACGACTGTGTTAGGGAAGAACGTTTATTTCATGAAAACAGTGATAAAATTATCACTTTGTATTTGTACATTGGATAATGCGTGACATTACAACTTTTTCAATAGTTTCTTGTTGAAAAGCATCAGTCGGAAGCATTGCTATAGATGCGTAGAAATATTTCTGATCGATTGGTGATAAAATTATTGAAATTGATCCAGTTCCATTTTAGGTTTTCACAAAGTGTACCCTCAGTATAGAAATTAAAGACGTAGTCCTACCTATATTTTTAAATTTAACTTAACAAGTTTCGTAGCTCAAGAAATATTGTAAACATCTTTTAGGTACCTTCAAGGAAGTTTCTTTCTTTCCCATTTTTCAAACTCTAATGTTCGGTGTCTTAAGTTTGTTGTATCGGTTCATATATATTTTATTTGTGTATATTAATAGATTTCCACTCACTAGACGTATGTACACTGATTTACACAAACCTTTCATAAAACAGATCAATCCGCTCTCGGTGCACACCACTGTACTGATGTAACATCTATCATTATTTCGCATGTATGCAAACTATCTATAAACGCTATCTGCTCGATTTATTATTTTAGCTACACATTTTTGGTTGGGCCATTCGTTTCACTATTGTTGATTAACAGCTCCCGTTTCATTTCAAAATCTCCAACCTTTACGGTTTTCCTTCTTCTTCCCAGATTAGATAGATAAATGATGCACCAACACAAGCCTCAAACCCCAGTTATTGGATGAAAAGATAATGTAAATATTCAGGTTATTGTTTTCTATTTTCCTACTTCTATTTCGAGAGGTTGACTCTTTCTATTTTTGTGGGTCAAGCTTGGTTATATATTGAGTTCGACATTTTGTATTTTTTTTTGTTCCTGCTGTAAGTTGTTGTTGTATGTTTGTGTTGTTTCATTTGACGAAAGATTATATAAATTTAAATTGCACCATGTGTCCGAAGAATTTACGGAGAAAGCACAACAACTTAGATCTGAGTAAGGAATTGCCATTTTATGAGGGACGAATAGGATTCATGAATACCTTGAGTAACTTATAAGTATCACAATTTCGATTGTTTGCTTACAGTTCCTATATACTTAACTTCTAAAATCAGGTGCGGTTTTGGATACGTATTATGAAGGGCATAAATAGGGGGAATTGACATCAATAGCATTTTTGTTTTTAAGATTGAAAGAAGGTGGATAAAATTATGTTATTTTCGATAATGCGATTACGATAGAGACGTGAAATGTTGTATGATGAGAGAACCAATAACGTGTGATTTTTATCCGATGTATCGCTAATCTATATTAATGTTTTCATATTTCTAACACTGAAGGCAACAACTTTTATTTTGTGTTTTTTTTTGTGTGGTTGGATCAACATCCACATTTTGGTTTTGCTTGCTTCGCTCATTGGTTATTTCATTGTTCTGCGCGGTCTACACATGTGTGTTCCGATAATAGAATTTGTGTGTGCTGCTATATTGACCATCGAGTGTGTATCCAGTTCAAGCAATTACTCTTGATTATTGATCTACGAGGTGCACTGGATTTAGAAGGATATGTTCACATGAGATGTCGGGCATGAATCAAGTTGAAACACTCGCAGGGCTTTGGCAGATGCATGTTCTTTTTTCTTGGCCATTGGGTGCTATACGCCTACTATCAGCTTTGTTTTCTTCGAGCCTACCACTGTTATTCATTGAGACCGTAATAGCCTTGAAGAAGAAACAAAGTAGTTTCAGTTAATCATATTCGGCGCCACCCACTGGGCATAAATTACCAATTGGAGTTCCACCAAAATAATTATGTAAGAAGGGTGAATTTAAAATACTATGCAGGGTCACTATTTGAAAACAGCAGATTTCTTTTCTTCGAAACAAAAACTAAAATCGTTTGACATTTTGAATAATAATATGCCGTTTATTATGGGGTTTAATAAACTGTACTTTTGGATACAATAGTTTATTCGAGTTCTTCATAAACAGCAATATATTTTAAAAAAAATATTATATACAAACTAGAAATACTCAGAGGGAGAGATAGGTGGAGAAAACAAAATACAATTCGGCAGCACCTATATTATCTTGCAACACTTGCTAGAAGCCAGCATTTCATATGACTTTCATTTTTGATTCGATTTACGTGCAAAATAAGAATTGATTGCATCGCAATATTTTGCACATTTCTTGGCGCCATTAATTAACCAACTAAAATCAGAATATTGTTTTTGATTCCAAAAACTACTTAATTGAATTTGAGAAGCACACGAAACATGATTGAATTTCTGTTCGATTGCAATACTCTCAAATTTAATTTCGGACAAATTCTAATGGGAATGTTCGGTTGGCTCCGATTTTGGCAGTTCATTTGTTTCAAAACATTCTCTCCGCCCATCTCTCCCTCTGAGTATTTCTAATATAAACGTAAGTTAGTAAAGGGTTTGACTTGGTTAGTCAGTATCACGTGTGGTAAGCCTGGAAGATGGTTTGTAGAATGGTTTTATTTTTCTAATGTTGCTAGTAAAGAAGTCTGGTGGATCCAAAAATATGTTATAGAAAAAGATATTTCGTGGCAAGACGTTCAAAAGTAAGTGTATTTGAAAAAAGAGCTCCTTCATGAGCCACTAGCAGCGGTGCATTTTTCTATTCATTGCAATTTAATTTACGGTACGTAGTCTGGAAAGAACTGATATACCTACTCATGTTTTACATTTTGCCAAAGCTCAGCGCATCACAAAATGATAATACAATAGCATCTTAATTTTGAAACAATCGCTAAACTAAATTGATGAAGATTAAAATTTAACAAACAAAAAACTGGCAAGCTGCCTTTATTCTATTTAGGGCGGATTTTCCAATAAAAATAAATTTTCAACAAAACATCACTAATCCAACGGCATTAGTTCCCTTCCGAAGCAAGATGTGACCAGAGATTTACAGCCTCAGAAAATTCAAACGACCTCTGCTGAGACTGATCGTAGCGCTAGTGACGCTTACCGTACCACCGGCCAATCGAGAGAAAAAAAAAACGAAATTCATTCGAATGTGATGCAATAAGGAATCCACGCTATAAACAGTTTCGAAACTGCCGCAATGTGCAGCAAACATACTAATCATAATTTGAGAATAGTTAGCAACGAAGATAACGCTTAAGCATAAGGTATTGTTCTTATAAATATAGGTACACACTACGATAAAGAAAAAAAAAAAAAAACAAATTTACTATCCTTTTCGTCAGAGGGTTATTGCTCTATGGATGAATCTCATCGATTATGTATCAGTTTTTTTTGTATCAGTGTTGGTAAGTGTAATGTGCCATCATATTAGATTTCTGTAACATTCTTATGTGTATATTCTCGTCCCTAAATTGTTTGACTCGCTTCTAGGATACAGTTGGAAATGGTCTACTTACCTACTCATCCGTTTCCTCCTCTACCCGTTGGCCTTTGGTAGCTTACAGTAATTTTTAAAGCTCCGGTCGTCCAATATCCGTCGCATTGGACTTTTTCCCTCGGTTGACTCTCCTTCGTGGCTGCGGTGGTGATAACTACGATGATATTGCAACTGACGTCGCTCATTGGTGCCGCTTGTGCGCATCAAGAAAGCGAGAAAATTGCTGATCCGCGACTTGAACTCAGATCCAAGCGTTGTCGCCAGCTGACGATAAGAGGGACGATTTCTATAGTAATAATAGCCATAACTGCTAGCACGGTTGCCAATGGGGGCAGCACCACCGAAAATATGCTCTTCCGGTTGATGATAATCCACCAGCACTTTCAATTCTATCGATGAAGATGATTCTTCGTCCTCCGTGGACGACGACCGCATGGTCCATTGATGTTGTCGCTGCTACAATTCGAATAGTTCGTCCTGTTGTTTTTCCAGTTTTTGGAGGGAGCTTTGCACCCGTTTACCTTGGGTCATCACGATCAGCTGACTCGTATCGGAAACCGCACTCCCAGAGGAGCTCTGTCGTTTGTGATGTGATGAACTAGCACCGCCGCCTCCCGACGAATGGAAATGATACTGTTGATATGAAGAGATTGATGACGAGGAGGACGCCGTCGAGTAGGCCCTCGGTTTCGAGTAGTACCCACTACTGTTCATACTAGCACCGGAACTAAAAATATTATCGTCGCTTTGGCTGGAGATGAACTCACTATTCCGCTGCGACTCTGCAATGTACTTTCGTGTCGAAGCTATCGACGAGTCAATTTTGCCTAGGAACTCTTCCATGTTTTTCCGGCTTTCCTCTTCGGGCGAAATAGCGCTTTCCTCGCTGATACCCGGATCCAATGGCGTGGAACAGGCCAACGAACTGGACGGACATCCGGCGATCGACGCCGACCGAACCGACAGGACACTGGGCCTGATGATGGCCGACGGGTCCGTTGGATAGAAGGGTGAATCCTTGGCGACCGGAATCATCAGGAATGGTCGCAGAAAGATGGTATCGGTCGGCAGGAGACGGTTGATGCGTCGGATTTGTTCCATCTGGAAAATAGAGAATCGTTTAGGAAATTATAATTGAGAATTCTGACACTTTGAAGAATTATTTAAATTTTTTTGATGCCAAATGAGTTTTGAGTCGAGGGTCTCATCGATGAAGAATCGACGTTTCTGTCCTATTTTGACGAAACAGCCAGCAGCAATACCGGCAAAAACTTCGCCGCCGAAGAAGCAGAAGCAGCAGCAGCAGCTGATGCCGGTACCTGCAACAAATCCGATCGAAACACAATCGGGATTACATTTTCCACCGCTCACTGCCCCTATCATACCCATATCGGGTTCGAAACAATCATCGGATAGCAGGTCGTTGTCCAGTACTCCTGGTCAACAACCTCCTGCTAGTGGCGAAGTGGTTCACAAACCTACTAGTGGCAAATCCGATGGCATCCATTCCTGGCTACAATATCGTCGCAAATGTGGATCATCAAAGGCGAGGGACGGCAATAGCGCTGAAGGAGTATATACGCTTTTTCAATGAAGAGATGAGCTTGGACGGACGACTTGTTGCTCTCCGGGTTGAAAACACGACATTGGCCAATATATACACTCCCGAAAAAACATGACAAATTTGTTATGTTCATATCTCTGTCATGTTACGTCCAATTTTCGCTCTCTTTAGATCATTTGAAAGGTATTGAATGGGACTTTCCTCGTAGGCAAATTGTTCAATATAATTTTCAAATTTTGTGTGCTAAAAGTTCACCCAAAGTTAAAATATTTTTCAAAGTTTACTCTGAAGAATTGGGTTGGCCAAATTTTGAAATAAAAGTAGTAGTAGAACACTTATGCTATACCATTCATACCATTCAAATAACATTGGGCTACAAAACGGTGAGTTGACAACCTGGAAGGAGCGGTCCTCACAAGTTCCTACTTCACGCCTCCCCGAGTCATATGATAACAAACGACTACCAGCTAAAACATGGACACAGCTGGGTGGCGTAGCCTGGGCAATGTTGCCAGTCCGGCAATAGCAAAGTGAAGAGGTGCGACGGGAACACTGGCGCGGTAACCATAGTACGGTGATAGGGGAAATGCTTCACCAAACCCGAGCGTCTGTTTACCATGGAGGTGCGGCTCAAAACGGCGTCTGTTCTCCATGTTAGGAGCGGCTGATCGCCGTCCTAGTGCCAGCGTGGGACTCTAAACAGAGCTGTGAACGATGGTCCCCCGGCGAGACAGGAGGTTGAAACAGGCCCAACAAGCCGCCCTGGAAAAAACATAAAGTTGCAAATACTGAAGAAAAAATACGAATCTGAACAATCGACACAGACCTACGCGACGAAATAAGGACTACGATTAGAAACTCGGAACATGGAACTGCAAATCGCTCGGCTTCCCGGGCTGCGATAGGTTAATCTATGACGAACTTCAACCACGCAACTTCGAAGTCGTAGCACTGCAGGAACTTTGCTGGACGGGACAAAAGGTATGGAAAAGCGGGCATCAAGCGGCTACTTTCTATCAGAGCTGTGGCACCACGGTTGGCAGCCGATCAACGCGAGGATGTGCAAGTTGAGGATTAAGGGCCGTTTCTTCAACTACAGCATCATCAACGTGCACTGCCCACACGAAGGGAGACCCGACGACGAGAAAGAAGCGTTCTATGCGCAGCTGGAGCAGGTGTACGACGGCTGTTCGTAACGGGACGTCTCAGGTAGGACGGGAGACAATGTATAGACCGGCAATCGGGCTAAACAGCCTGCATGCCGTATCGAACGACAGCGGCCAACGATGCGTGAACTTTGCAGCCTCTCGAGGAATGGTAGTTCGAAGTACCTTTTTCTCCCGCAAGGATATATACAAAGCCACCTGGAGATCACCTGACCAACACACAGAAAACCAAATCGATCACGTTCTAATCGACGGGAAATTCTTCTCCGACATTATCAACGTCCGCACGTACCGCAGTGCGAACATAGATTCGGACCACTACCTAGTTGCAGTATGCATGCGCTCAAAACTCTCGACGGTTCATAACACCCGTCGAAGTCGAACGCCGCGACCCAACATTGAGCAACTACGGGACGCCGGAGTTGCCCAGGACTACGCGCAGCAGCTGGAAGTTGCACTACCCACGGAAGAGCAGCTTGGCGCAGCTTCTCTTGAAGATGGCTGGAGGGAAATCCGTTCCGTCATAGGTTGTACTGCTGCAGTGGCACTAGGTACTGCAATCCCGGACCGAAGAAATGACTGGTTTGACGGCGAATGCAAACTGTTAGTAGAGGAGACGAATGCAGCACGGGCTGCAACACCGTACGAGATTGAATGTGGAGCGATACAGACAAAACTCGGTTTTCCGAAGGAAGAAGCGTCAGCAGGAAGAACGAGATCACGAGGCGATGGAAAATCTGTACCGCGTAAACTACACACGGAAGTTCTACGAGAAGCTACATATTTCGCGCAAAGGCTACGTACCGCAAGCCGATATGTGCAAGGACTTGGATGGTAACCTTCTCACGAACGAGTGTGAGGTGATTGAGAGGTGGAAGCAGTACTATGACGAGCACCTCAACGGTGTAGCAGCAGAAAACGAAGGTGGCACGGCAACATACCTTGGAGCATGCGCAGAAGACGACAGGCTACCGGCCCCTGATCTTCAAGAAGTTGAGGAGGAGCTCGGTCGGCAACAACAAAGCAACTGGTGTAGATCAACTACCTGGTGAAGCACTGGCTAGAGCGCTGCACTGGGTAAATGCCAGGATTTGGGAGGAGGAGATATTACCGGAGGAGTGGATGGAAGGTTTCTTATGCCCGATCTACAAAAAGGGCGACAAGTTGGATTGCTGCAACTACCGCGCAATCACACTTCTGAGCGCCGCCTACTAGGTAAATGCTACTAGAAATGCCGCGAATACAACGTGCGCACACATCACTTGTTCATCGATTTCAAATCCGCATACGACACAATCGATCGAGATCAGCTATGGCAGATTATGCACGAGTATGGATTTCCGGATAAACTGACGCGATTGGTCAAGGCGAAGATGGATCGAGGGATGTGCGTTGTTCGAGTATCGGGGACACTCTCAAGTCATTTTGAATCTCGAAGAGGGTTACGGCAAGGTGATGGACTTTCGTGTCTGCTATTCAACATCGCGTTAGAAGGTGTGATCAGAAGAGCTGGGTGGCACGATCTTCAGGAAGTCCATCCAGCTTCTTGGCTTCGCCGATGACATTGACATCATGGCACGGAACTTTGAGACGATGGCGGAAACGTACATCAGACTGAAGGCTGAAGCTAGGCGGATTGGACTTGCCATCAACGCATCAAAGACAAAATACATGAAAGGAAGAGGTTCTAGGGAAGACAATGTTAGCCTCCCACCCCGAGATGAGTTCGTGTATTTGGGCTCACTGGTGACCGCCGAAAATGATACCAGCAGAGAAATTCAAAGACGCATTATGGCAGGGAATCGTGCCTACTTTGGACTCCGGGGGACGCTCCGGTCGAATAAAATTCGCCGCCGCACGCAGTGGACTGTCTACAAGACACTGATTAGACCGGTGGTCCTCTACGGCCACGAGACCTGGACTATGCTCGTGGAGGACCATTGGTGTTTTCGAACGGAAGGTGTTGCGTACCATCTACGGTGGAGTGCAGATGGATGACGGAACGTGGAAGAGGCGGATGAACCACGAATTGCACCAGCTGCTGGGAGAACCATCCATCGTCCACATTGCAAAAATTGGGCGACTACGGTGGGCTGGGCACGTCGTAAGAATGCCGCACGACGACCCAGTGAAAATTGTTCTAGAAAGCGACTCAACAGGAACAAGAAGAAGAGGCGCGCAGCGGGCAAGGTGGATCGACCAAGTAGAAGGCGAGTTGCGGACCCTTCGCAGATTACGAGGCTGGCAAAGTGTGGCCATGGATCGAGTAGAGTGGAGACGGCTTCTTCGGACAGCAGAGGACAACAAGGCCTTAGTCTGATTGGTAAGGTAAGTACCATTCAAATAACCTTTGGAGATCGAAAATTGAACGTAAAATGAGAGATCATTGAACAAAACAAATTGGCATGGTTCATGGACACCCCCATCCTTAAACTTATGATCGGTAGTGTACGCACCGTCGGACACAGCTATGCGTGCCAAACGAGAGCGTTTTTTAAAGGTGTATTCAGATCTGAGCGTTTATTAGCGGAGCGGAGCAAAATTTGCGTTGGAATGAGAGAGACAACTAGTGCTTTTCTCCCTCTCGTACCTTCGCAAAATCTTTCTCCGCGCGTGAAATATCGCTCAGATCTGAATACACCTTAATAATACGATAGCTTTCTATCTGCGCACAACACCGAAAATATACTGCTCGCTAGCGACTTCAATTGTGTGCTGCGATCATGTGATGCGTCGGGTTTCAATAACAGTCCTGCTCTGCAGTCCACCATACAACAACTGCAACTCAGCGACGTCTGGGTAAAATTGTATTCTACGACCACCTCGCCCACATATATCACGCACAACTCCGTCTCCAGACTGGATCGCATGTACGTCAGCCATGGACTCTTTCACTAACCACAAAGCGCTTACTTCGAGAATATGCCTCTCCAGCATCGACCAGCGAACCTGGTCGCGGTTATTGGTCATTACGTCCCCATCTTCTGACAGCAGAGAATGTTGACGAGTTCCAGATCAGATGGCAATATGTGACCCGACAAAGACGAAATTATCCGAACTTATCACGTGGTGGTTATCCTACGCTAAACCGAAAATCCAGTCCTTTTTTCGATGGAAATCTCACGAGGCATACAGTGAGTTTCATGCACAACACCAATGGCTGTATGTACAGCTTCAGCAAGCGTATGATGGATATTTCCTTAATCCAGCGATGATGGTCACCATCAATCGCGTGAAAGCAAAAATACTTGCTCACCAGCGCACTTTCTCGCAGAACTTTATACGTATCAACGGCACGTGGCGAAAACAACGAAGTTTTAGACACTACATTGTGACAGAGGAAGATGAGGAAACACAGCACTCCTTCCAATGCGAGAGAGTGGTACCCGAAAACGACGACAGCAACGACTCTTGCCTGGCTGAGATAACAACATCAGAGATTTTGTCATCTATTCGTACATCAGCTAAAAGGAAGGCTACGGGAAGCGATGGGTTACCTGTCGAATTCTACCAACGTACATTCGACGTCATCCACCGAGAGCTGAACCTTGTATTTAACGAGGCTATGACAACGGAGTTTCCCTCTGAATTTGCCAACGGAGTAATCGTGTTGGTACGAAAGAGAAGAACGGCAAATACCGCTCGAGGATACCGCCCGATCAGCCTTCTGAATGCGGACTTTAAAATTCGCGTATTGAGTGATGCACAAAAATGTTCAAACGAAGGGCACTCAATCTTCGAAGCCAGTCTTTCTCTGAAAGATCGTATTGCACAGCTGATAGCGAGGAAACGAAAAGGGAAACTGATAAGCTACGATCTCGATCACGCTTTTGATCGGGTATCCCTTTCCTTTCTTCACGGAACCATGCGGCAGCTGGGAATAATCCCAGCTTTTATCGGCTTACTGACACGAAAATTACAAGCTGCTGTATCATTTCAAGATGGGCCTTCAGGGCCGGCTTCGTATTGTCCTCAGAAAAGAGCGTGGTTTCCTATCTATGCCGCTCCCGCCATCGGCCGCTACCAACGAACATCTTAGTGAACAACATTCTGATACCCAACAAATAGACCATCCAGGTTCTTGGAGTGCGCCTGGACCGGAAGCTGAGGTTCAACGCACACTTTACTGACACTAAATCTAATTGCCGCACGCGACTAAACCGCAGCAGCAACAGAGAGATCCTACTAAAGGTAGCCAAGGCCACTGTAACATGTGCATCAAATATGTCAGCAACTTCCCACGCTTGCTATATTTGCTGGTCTCATAAGTGGCACCATGCCGCGACGAGACAAGCTATTCCAAAAAACCTTTTTCAGTCATCGAACCCATTTGAGCAATGCAATGCATAAATGAGTTCGATGAATTGAACGAAACGCATTCAGCAATTCTCACCAAAAGGCAGAAGTGTCAAATAACACTTTGGTTCATTCTTTCCCACTCTTGGTATCGATCACCAACGATCGAGTAAATAGCGAAAATACATAGTGGCTTCAAGTGTCTCCATTCTCAGCACCATATGTAAAATATTGTTCAATAAAACATTCTTAGTTTAACTTTCGAAGCGAAAGGTTCGTTTTTAGTAACTGCAATATCACGTCATGAAAACGTCAAATGGCGAAATAGTGAAAGCGTTAAACCACCGTAAACAGTAGAATATTTTATGGGATTGAACTAACTTGCCTCTCCATGTTCCATGTGAACCGTTTCAATATCAAATCGTCGAAACGTTGAGCTGCAGAGCATCCAGTTACCTAGAAAAGGCCACTAGGAACCTTCCTCAGAGAGGCGAATAGAGCCCTAGGAAGCCTGGTCTATCAGGAGCTCCCACCCGTGTCTAGGTTAAGCTGGATCGGAGCCAGAGGATGGACAGAACCAACACTTCACGTTGACATTTCGATTGCCAAGCGGTTTGGGGTAGGGAACAATAATCGCGCTATGCACAGCCACCTATCGGAGATACTCAGAACTAAATAAGCAATTTTTCAACACCGCTTCACGGACGGCTCCAAGGCTGCCAACGTTCTATATGCCTTGAATTCGTAAACATCCCTGAATCCAATACAAAAGACCGCACCGCCGAACACCTCATGCGAAGCGGACCATCCGGTCAGATGACTACCCCATGTGTTCCCAGTTCAGCCATTAAAACATGGGTGAAAGCAACCCTTAGAGACGCCTGGAACCTACAGTGGGTTACAAAAAGAGGACCGTTCTTAGGGAAAATAAAGGGTGACATCTTCAAATGGAAGGACACTACGAGTCGACGGGAACAACAGGTCTTATCTCGGCACCGACCTGGACACACCCGAGTAACCCATAATATGGGTAGCGCTACCTCTTTTCGGAAGTGGTGCGACGCTTGCAACACTATAATGGTCGTGAACTGCCCCTGCTTCCAGAACATCCAAGTCCATAACGGAATCCCGGACAGCATACGCAATGCCTTTAACTATTTAGCGAATGCTAAAAAAATCTATAGAAATTTACAATAGAATTCAGAAGAGCATTTCGAGATAAATTTGAGCAAAATTTCAAAGAATTATGAAAAGAGATTCAAGATCCTTTTGAAGCGGCTACCTTCCACGGGAAATATCTGCCGAATATGCGAAAAAATTAAGAAAATTTTTAAGGAGAATTATGAAGTAAAATTTGATTGAATTCTTGAAGAAAATTTAATTATGATTTTCCGAGATTTCTTGGAGTGTTATGAAGCAACTTTGTAGGGAATACAAACAAGAGTTCACCGTAAAATGGTCTTTCTGCGAAATCGGTTTCTGTGAAATGTTGGAAGCCAATTTTTGCCTGTATAAACTATTCTATAGTTAAAAATGTTAGTTTGGATTCCACGTGTTGGTCATTTTGAATTGTAAGTAGGTACCTATGCAAGTAATTTTCATCACAACTTTTTTTAAAGGGATCATACAACAATACATTGGAAATTTTATCAGACAGTAACCCTGAATGAATTTGTAAAACACTTTCTTATAGGTACATCCTACAGTTAGCCTAATCGCTAATAGTTCAATTGTGATTTCGAATTCCCATCTTTTCCGATTAGGAAACTACTAGGTATGTATTTTGTTAGGATTTATCCGCGAAATGGGTACCCTGCCTACATAAATTTAGCACCACCAGAATAAACAGCAAAACCTATATACACTCTACATGTGGGCAATCAAATTTTATCTCTCCTCTCGAGTGCGAGGCATATATAGATAAAACTGGTGAGTACTTACCTACCTATCTAAAATGTAATACTAATAGCAAAAAAGCTACTTACACTGCATCCATATTTCAGCGCAATTCCTTGTAGCGTATCCGTCTGCTCCACGTCATGTCGGATGAGTGCATCCGAGCTGAGGGCTGGCGATCGACTGCCACCGCTCCCACTGCTTCCGCCGGAAATGCTGCCATATTTTTTCAACGCCCGGGCCGAGTCCCGTATCGATTGCTTCTCGCCGAAGATCGTTTCGTCCTCCATCCCGTCTGAGACTAGCTTTACGAACTGTCGAGACGAATATGCACCATTGGATGTTGAGACACAACGGGAAGTAGAATCATTAGCTATTTCCTTTAGCTCCGTCGTGAAGAGCGTGAAATGGAAAGTTAATCAATAAAGCTCGGGCGCGGGCAATTGTTATGATATTCGAGACACAAAACTACTGCTGGTTGGCGATGGAAACGACAATGAAAGCTGTTTATTTTTTTTCTCCAAAATCAAATGTCTTTTTTCTCCAGACTGAGAAAACAGAAGGCAGATATTTCACTTCTGCTAACGTTAGTCTTTATGACCGAAAAATACTTTCTGCTCAGGATGGAGCAAGTGATTTCAGGAAAGGTTTGAGATTTCACTATTTAAAAAAAAAAACACTGCACAGATCAAAATATTGGTCAGGTTTTGCCACAGAAATTTTCGCTTTCGTTTTTCTCCTGGCCTTAAAAAGTACGAGATATTTTTACCTCTTTTGCTCACGTTACATGACACTTTTCTGACTTCGCACCCACTTCTTCTGACAGTGTTTTCTCCTAGTTTTGACATTTACACGCGTCAGAGTGCAATGCACACATGTGCATACAATGCAAAAACAAAAGCGAGAGTCGCGCGAGAGAGCTGGCGCACGCTGTTCTCTTTTGTTAGTCCGGAGTGCGTTCATGAAGTATTAAATATATACTTATACATGTATATGGGCGTTAAAAGGCAACACCAAGATTTATCTGCAGATTTAAATAAAGGTTGTCTCAAATTAGCATGTGAATGTTCAAGCCAACTGCACAGATAGAAATTCCTATATACTTTTTTGGCAAATTACTATTCGGGATTACAGTAATGACCCGATATAGACAGCTACATTTGTGATTTTCTTTTCTATAATTGTACGAAATCCAAACGCTTTTCAGTGGTCCTATCACCACCGAAGAACCGACGTGACAGCTCATAGAGGGAAAACAATTCAGACACGTAAACACCCTTCAAATCTCGATTAGAGCCGTATTAACGGAGATAAATCAATTTAAAGATTTTCATACCCGCCAGCCTGAAAATGATGGGTTGGGAAAATTTTTTTTAAGGAAAAAAAATGTGATACCTAGTAACCCTCCAAATCTCGATTAGAGCCGTATTAACGGAGATAAATCGATTTAAAGATTTTCATACCCGCCAGCCTGAAAATAATGGGTTGGGACATTTTTTTGAGGAAAAAAATTTTGACACCTAAAAACCCTCCAAATCTCGGTTAGAGCCGTATTAACGGAGATAAATCGATTTAAAGATTTTCATACCCGCCAGCCTGAAAATAATGGGTTGGAACATTTTTTTTGGGAAAAATTTTTGACACCTAAAAACCCTCCAAATCTCGATTAGAGCCGTATTAACGGAGATAAATCGATTTAAAGATTTTCATATCCGCCAGCCTGAAAATAATGGGTTGGGACATTTTTCTTGGGAAAAAAAAATTTGACACCTAAAAACCCTCCAAATCTCGATTAGAGCCGTATTAACGGAGATAAATCGATTTAAAGATTTTCATACCCGCCAGCCTGAAAATAATGGGTAGGAACATTTATTTTGGGGAAAAAAAATTTGACACCTAAAAACCCTCCAAATCTCGATTAGAGCCGTATTAACGGAGATAAATCGATTTAAAGATTTTCATATCCACCAGCCTGAAAATAATGGGTTGGGACATTTTTTTTTGGGAAAAAATTTCTGACACCTAAAAACCCTCCAAATCTCGATTAGAGCCGTATTAACGGAGATAAATCGATTTAAAGATTTTCATATCCCCCAGCCTGAAAATAACGGGTTGGGACATTTTTTTTTTGAAAAAAAATTTTGACACCTAAAAACCCTCCAAATCTCGATTAGAGCCGTATTAACGGAGATAAATCGATTTAAAGATTTTCATACCCGTCAGCCTGAAAATAATAGGTAGAAATATTTTTTTTTTGAAAAAAAAATTTGACACCTAAAAACCCTCCAAATCTCGATTAGAGCCGTATTAACGGAGATAAATCGATTTAAAGATTTTCATACCCGTCAGCCTGAAAATAATAGGTAGAAACGTTTTTTTTTTGAAAAAAAATTTTGACACCTAAAAACCCTCCAAATCTCGATTAGAGCCGTATTAACGGAGATAAATCGATTTAAAGATTTTCAGGGTTTTTAGGTGTCAATTTGGAGGGTTTTTAGGTGTCAAATTTTTTTTTTCCCAAGAAAAAAAGATTTGACACCTAAAAACCCTCCAAATCTCGATTAGAGCCGTATTAACGGAGATAAATCGATTTAAAGATTTTCATACCCGTCAGCCTGAAAATAATGGGTTGGAACATTTTTTTTTGGGAAAAAAAAATTTGACACCTAAAAACCCTCCAAATCTCGATTAGAGCCGTATTAACGGAGATAAATCGATTTAAAGATTTTCATACCCGCCAGCCTGAAAATAATGGGTAGGAACATTTATTTTGGGGAAAAAAAATTTGACACCTAAAAACCCTCCAAATCTCGATTAGAGCCGTATTAACGGAGATAAATCGATTTAAAGATTTTCATATCCGCCAGCCTGAAAATAATGGGTTGGGACATTTTTTTTTGGGAAAAAAAATTTGACACCTAAAAACCCTCCAAATCTCGATTAGAGCGGTATTAACGGAGATAAATCGATTTAAAGATTTTCATACCCGTCAGCCTGAAAATAATGGGTTGGGACATTTTTTTTGGGAAAAAAAATTTGACACCCAAAAACCCTCCAAATCTCGATTAGAGCCGTATTAACGGAGATAAATCGATTTAAAGTTTTTCATACCCACCAGCCTGAAAATAATGGGTAGAAACTTTTTTTTTTGGAAAAAAATTTTGACACTTAAAACCCTCCAAATCTCGATTAGAGCCGTATTAACGGAGATAAATCGATTTAAAGTTTTTCATACCCGTCAGCCTGAAAATAATGGGTTGGAACATTTTTTCTTGGGAAAAAAAATTTTGACACCTAAAAACCCTCCAAATCTCGATTAGAGCCGTATTAACGGAGATAAATCGATTTAAAGATTTTCATACCCGCCAGCCTGAAAATAATGGGTAGAAACATATTTTTTTTGGGAAAAAAAAAATTGACACCTAAAAACCCTCCAAATCTCGATTAGAGCCGTATTAACGGAGATAAATCGATTTAAAGATTTTCATACCCGTCAGCCTGAAAATAATGGGTTGGAACATTTTTTTTTTGGGAAAAATTTCTGACACCTAAAAACCCTCCAAATCTCGATTAGAGCCGTATTAACGGAGATAAATCGATTTAAAGATTTTCATACCCGTCAGCCTGAAAATAAGAGGTAGAAACATTTTTTTTGTGAAAAAAAAATTTGACACCTAAAAACCCTCCAAATCTTGATTAGAGCCGTATTAACGGAGATAAATCGATTTAAAGTTTTTCATACCCACCAGCCTGAAAATAATGGGTAGAAACATTTTTTTTTTGAAAAAAAATTTTGACACTAAAAACCCTCCAAATCTCGATTAGAGCCGTATTAACGGAGATAAATCGATTTAAAGATTTTCATACCCGTCAGCCTGAAAATAATAGGTAGAAACATTTTTTTTTGTGAAAAAAAAATTTGACACCTAAAAACCCTCGATTAGAGCCGTATTAACGGAGATAAATCGATTTAAAGTTTTTCATACCCACCAGCCTAAAAATAATGGGTAGAAACATTTTTTTTTTGAAAAAAAAATTTGACACCTAAAAACCCTCCAAATCTCGATTAGAGCCGTATTAACGGAGATAAATCGATTTAAAGATGTTCATACCCGTCAGCCTGAAAATAATGGGTTGGAACATTTTTTCTTGGGAAAAAAAATTTTGACACCTAAAAACCCTCCAAATCTCGATTAGAGCCGTATTAACGGAGATAAATCGATTTAAAGATTTTCATACCCGTCAGCCTGAAAATAATGGGTTGGAACATTTTTTCTTGGGAAAAAAAAATTTGACACCTAAAAACCCTTCAAATCTCGATTAGAGCCGTATTAACGGAGATAAATCGATTTAAAGTTTTTCAAACCCACCAGCCTGAAAATAATGGGTAGAAACATTTTTTTTTTGAAAAAAATTTTTGACACCTAAAAACCCTCCAAATCTCGATTAGAGCCGTATTAACGGAGATAAATCGATTTAAAGATTTTCATACCCGTCAGCCTGAAAATAATAGGTTGAAACATTTTTTTTTGTGAAAAAAAAATTTGACACCTAAAAACCCTCGATTAGAGCCGTATTAACGGAGATAAATCGATTTAAAGTTTTTCATACCCGCCAGCCTGAAAATAATGGGTAGAAACATTTTTATTTTGGGAAAAAAAATTTGACACCTAAAAACCCTCCAAATCTCGATTAGAGCCGTATTAACGGAGATAAATCGATTTAAAGATTTTCATACCCGTCAGCCTGAAAATAATGGGTTGGAACATTTTGTTTTGGGAAAAAATTTCTGACACCTAAAAACCCTCGATTAGAGCCGTATTAACGGAGATAAATCGATTTAAAGTTTTTCATACCCTCCAGCCTGAAAATAATGGGTAGAAACATTATTTTTTGGGAAAAATTTCTGACACCTAAAAACCCTCCAAATCTCGATTAGAGCCGTATTAACGGAGATAAATCGATTTAAAGATTTTCATACCCGTCAGCCTGAAAATAATAGGTAGAAACATTTTTTTTTGTGAAAAAAAAATTTGACACCTAAAAACCCTCCAAATCTTGATTAGAGCCGTATTAACGGAGATAAATCGATTTAAAGTTTTTCATACCCACCAGCCTGAAAATAATGGGTAGAAACATTTTTTTTTTGAAAAAAAATTTTGACACCTAAAAACCCTCCAAATCTTGATTAGAGCCGTATTAACGGAGATAAATCGATTTAAAGATTTTCATACCCGTCAGCCTGAAAATAATAGGTAGAAACATTTTTTTTTGTGAAAAAAAAATTTGACACCTAAAAACCCTCCAAATCTCGATTAGAGCCGTATTAACGGAGATAAATCGATTTAAAGATTTTCATACCCGCCAGCCTGAAAATAATGGGTAG